AAAAACTATATTTAAAAGTAAAGTAGCGATAACTTAGGCTAGTTAAGGAAGAATCTTTTAGAAACCTTAAGAAACTAATATGTAGTAAATTACTACTTATAAACTATAATCTAACTTTAGATACTTATATAGAAATAGATATAAGTAATAGAGTAGTTACGGGAGTTCTATTATAATATTAAGAAAATTACGAATAGAAACTGGTATCCTTTTATTCTAAGGTAATGTTAGATGCTGAACTCCGTTACGGAATACCTAATAAAGAACTTCTAGCTATTATATAAGGACTAGAGGAATGGAGATCTATGCTTATAGGCCTTTATAAACCTTTTCTTATAATTATAGACTATTAAGCATTAGAATACTTTACTTCTAAGCACTAATTATCCGCATAATAAGTAAGATAGGCTAAGTAACTTACTAAGTACTAAGTCCGGTTTACCTACTAACTAGGAAAGGAAAATATTATTACGGATATTCTTATAAGAAAGTAAGAGTAACTTAAGACTTAAAAAGAGAAAGTAAAGGCTATATAAGAGTAGTATCTTATTCCTACTTCCTAGGTAGTCCTACTTATGATGATGGAGCTAGAAGTTTCTCTACTAATAATTTTCCTTAATAAACTTCTCTACGTGAATAGAGAAAACCTAGATCTTAAACTATAGAGAGAAATAGCCCGTCTTTAACCGGAAAATAAATCATATTAGAAGCTATAGGATGGATTACTTCTTTACTATAGCATATTAGTCGTTCCTAACTAGGATAACCTTCGCGTAAGAATAATTAAAGTAAGATATACTACTTACGTTACTACCTATCCGGAAATTAATAAAATGCGAAAGCTATTATGGTAATACTATTACTAGCCTAGCTAGACTTACATAATTAAGAGATATAGCCGAAACTACTATATTTACTACTAGAACTATGAATTTACTAATAAGATACCTAGCCTTCTATATCCTCTACTAATTCCTAACCGTCCCTAGTAATACCTAGCTATAGATTTTAAAGAGATGCTATAAGACTAAAAGGGATTTAATTATATCCTTATTATTATAGACTAGTTATCCTAAAGAACCTTTAGTTTACCTTACATGAAGAAAATTAATGCTAAAGGAGTATCTTAACTTTTTTATGATTATATCTACTAAATTTTTAGAAATCCTAAAAGTATACTATTAGATTAAGGTCCTTAGTTCATTTTAGCCTTCACGTAGGAGCTATATAAGTTAACTAGTATTAAATAACACTTTAATTTAGCCTATTACTCTTAGATAAACGGAATTACTAAGATAGTAAATTAGGTCCTTATATGCCGACTATAACCATTTATTAATTACTACTAAAATGACTAGTCTAATCTTCTACTATTAATAGATTTAGCTTAGGCTACCCTCCTATATAAGGCTATAGGTCTTATACTAGTAGAAGTAGACTTTAGCTTCGTACTATATATATATTATAACTAGACTACTTATACGATAATAACTACTTTACCTAAAGGTAGAACATAGTCTATAGCTTAGTCTCTCTAAAAAAGAAGATAAGAAGCCTATAAATATACCTATAAATTAATTTACTAATCATAAGAAAAGAACTACTAATAAGCTAATAAATACTATTATATACCTAACTTTAATATTAGAGACTTTATTTACATTAAGAAGACTAGCTAGATAATAGACCGGCTAAATCTAAAATTAGATGCTCCTAATACGGGACTATTTAAGATTACTAGAATAAAAGGATATTCGTACGAATTAGATCTTCTAAAAAGCATAAAGGTTATAAACCTTTTCTATACTAATCGCCTACGTAAGGTAGCTATAGACCTATTACTATAATAGAGATATACTAAGCTAGAACCCGAGGTTATTAATAACTAGTAAGAATAGGAAGAAATATAATTAGATAACTAACCCGCTTATACTCTAGTAAAGAGAATCCTTTAACGCTATAGTAAATAACCCTTATCTATATAAACTAATTTACCCTTATCTATCCTATTTTCCTATTTTAATTTTATTCCTTATCTTTTATACCCTTACTCCTCTTCCTCCTCTTTAGTAGGAATTAGAGCTAACTTCTTAAGTTTAGGCCTTATTACACCTTTAATAGCGCCCTAGAGAAAGTTATTAACCTAGTTATCTATTACGTAGCGAAAAGTAAGGTACTCTCTAGGCTATATCTTATCCTTATACCTTTTATATTAATTAGGAGGATAAGTACTAGTAAGGTCGCTTATAGTCTAGTTAAGGTTACTAGTACCCTAGACGTAGTTCGTATAATAACCCTATAAGAAACCTAGTAACTTATAGTAACTATAGAAGATATAAGTAGAGAGATTATCCTAGTACTTAGTATAACTAGTAGCCTAATTAATAACCGCGTATTAGATTAAGTAAGCATTACGTAAAGAACTACGAGATTCTATAGATATAATGTTAAAATAATCCTTAGAAACTAGGATAATAGTATAATAAGCTAAGTTACTAAGGCCTAATATATACCTTACGCGTTAGCTAGTTTTATTACTACTAAGGGATTTCTATAATAAGTTAGCTATCGCGTAAGGATAAGTAAGTAGTAATATATACCTTAGCGAGTTTTTTAAAGGCCTTATATAGGATGAAGACTATAATCTTATTAGAAGTATCTACCTCTAAGTCCTAATCTAAAGGTTCTACTAGTAATTCTATAGGTAAAGTAGCTAGATGAATAATGCTACTATTATCACCTTTATATAAAGGTATACTTAGTAGTATACTAATATAATAGCTACTAGAATGTATACGCGAAGGTAAAGTAGGTAAATTAGCTTACGTAATAGTTACGCGAGGATTTATAGGTAGAATAGTAATATATACTAGCTCTTAGGAGCTAGGTACTATACCTAGACTAGTTAGCTTTACTTTACCTTTTTAAAACTCTAGATATATAGATGATTAGCTAATTACGCGCGACGTCTTATATAATAGTCTTAAGTTACCTTAGCATCCTCTTAAGGCATTATATTACCTTTAGGATGCTTAGAGTAATAACATTAATTAGATACTATCGCGTAATAATTAGTTAAGCGTTTTTAGACCTACTATAAATAGGAGGACTTACTATTATTACTAGAGTTATTACTAGAGCTAGTTACTTAAATAAGAGATAGGCTAAGAGTAATAGGAAGATATAATAATAGAAGTAAGGTCTATTATTATTATTAAGGTAGTAGTAAAGAAGGTTAGTTAAACTATAAACCTAATAATAAGATATACCTAGTAGTCCTATACTTTACGCCCTTACTAAAATAGCGCTAGTTAGTTATCTATATAAGTACCTAATAAGCTAACTTAGGCTTCCTATTAGGGGGGGAATGTTATAATAGCTATTAGACGCCGTTATAATAGCTATTAGATACTAGATACTAGTAATATAAGTATATTATAACTACGCCCTTACGCGATTACTTAATAAGCTAAAGCTAATTATAACTAAGCTATATAAACCGGCTAAGCTATATAAGCTAGTAGTACTAATAGATAATAAACACTCCTAAGAATATATAGCCTACTTAACGGCTAATAAAACTTTACGCGGTAATAAGAAGATTAATTTCTTATCTATTTTAATAATGTAACTAAAGTAGTAATTCACGTAGTAAAGAGAGAGTTTAGTCTTATTTTACTTCTTATATAAATATATATAGAAGATAGAAGAGTATATAGTATCTTCTATATTTATAATAATTAAGAAGACTTTACTTAACTTCATCTTTTAACTACTTAACTTTAATTAAGTTCTTTTTAATTTTATATACATCCGACTAAGTAGATAGCCTCTAGGCGAAAGCCTATATATTAGCCGCTTAATAATTCATAATACCCTTAGGCTAGATAATATAATAACCTAATAGATAATACTACTACCTAACTCTATACTACTTAGTACTCCTAAGATAGCTACTTACTAATAGTCTAAGAATAGTCCTTTTAGAGGGGGGGATAGTATAATACTATAACTAAGATAGGGCCTAGAAAACTCTAACTAGAACCTAAAGAGAGCTATACTAGGACCTAAAGAGGGCTATATATATTAGTAAGAATATATAAATACCCTAAGAGATAAAACCTTATAAACTAAGATTTCGTCTAATATCTATACTAAATATATTATTATTATTTATACTTAATTTAACTCCCTATAGTACTAAATCTTATATCTTACTTCTTACCTATTAATTATTAGTAATTAGCATAATCTACTCTACTTAGTACTATAATATATAGTAGGTATAGTAATTTTAAAGTTCCTAAAAAAATTTATATATAGTAATAACTTATTATTATATAGGCTTTTTCTAAGAAATAGTAGCTAAACTAGAGAAGAGTATCCTATCTAGCTAAGTAAAGAGGGAGTATCTAAGTATTAAAGACTAGTTCCGCGGCTCACTTCCTAGAGCTAACTTAGTAGCGTGTGTAAACGTCTCTACATGGAACAAGCCCCTTGCATCCTAGCTCAGCGCGATCGTTGTCCGTTTCCACCGCCGCGTCGCGCGTCACTATTTCTCCAGCACTTACCTGTTAGACCGACACACATAAGGCGCGCTAGCTGTCCTCGTCCACGATTATTCTTTCCATCTCCTGGAATCATTCGCTGGAATCATTTGCAGGAACCGTCGTCTGCCGTCACAATGATCAGCACGCCGAACTGAGCCTCCGCTCATCCGCCCGACAAACAGACCGATCGACCGACGACCCACCGCGCCGACGCAAAACAGGAATCCAAAGCGGGCAAAGCGTATACGACGTAAAGACGAGCAGGCGCAGCGGTGGGTCCGACCGCCGGCCATTCTACAGAGATCCAGCCAGCCTCGCCGCACGCGGTCAGCCAAGCAAAAAAAGCGTCTTAGGTCGTCACGAACCAAACGGTCCCCCGCGCCTTGTCGATGGATTGCTCCACCACCACCGCCGCCGCCGCCGCCGCACAAAAAAGGCAAAAGAAACGGTTGAGGATGATGCGATTTGAACGCATAGCCTTCAGGAACTTCCTATGTTCTATTCCAGAGGCCTTGTTGAGGTCCTGGTCGAAGAAACTTCTGGAATCTGACGCGCTACCATTGCGCCACACCCCCGTTTTTGATGCAGGGATTTTGCGGGTTTGCAATTATGTCTTGTAGACAAAAGACCATCAGGGGGTCAGGGGGAAGTCTGGCTCCCGGCGCCGTAGTTTTGGTCCCTTACATATTCACAAGGTAATTGGGTGCTCGGTGCCTCTTTGGAACTACTTTTGAAGTGGAGAAAGCCATGGACGGGTTCAATGTTGTCAACTGAACTTTCTCAAAACGTTTCTATGGGCACTATCTGACTACGCGGACCCCATTGAGCATGGATTGTCTGGAAAATCGCTACGATATACAGGCTCACAATCACTGAGAGAAGCTATTATGAAGCGGTAGAGACGCTATCATTAGTCAATGATGCTTGTTGACCACCACTTGCGGGCAACACCTTGGCCACTTCGCCTGTTTGGTCGGCCAAGAAGCGCAGAGAGACAAAGGAGCGCGCGTCAATAAAGTATTCCAACGCCAGGTTAGAATTGCAAGTTGCCTGAATTCAATTCTCATCTCCTCACCACAATCGTTGTGTATTCGTTGTGTATGGGCTCGATATGTATAGGCGCAAAGACCAGAAACACCAAGGTCACCGCCAAAAGGAACAGACAGAGAGATGATGCAGCGATATCTGTTTCTTGAAGAGTCAAACGCCTGTCCAATCCTCCCGAACCATAGAGAAATAGAAATCAGAGAGCTCTCCTTCCGCCCAAAGAAAGCATCGGGGTATCCAACCCGCTAAGGGACATTCGTCTTCCACGCTTCCGCCAACGCTCCATCAATTCAGTTGGCAGCATACGCCTGAAGCAAGAAAGAGAACTGGTGTCGCTGAGCCGGAACCCCACGTTGAGGAGGGTACTGTAATGTCTCAAGCGACCTCGCTCTTTCCTCGACCCTTAAGCAACCAAAGCAGGAAAACTGACCAGAAACAGTATACTTACAATGTCCTCTTCCGCTTACGCTTGTATCGTACACCGAATCGCCATCATCAAAAGATCATACACCTCAGAGCTCAGACCTCCGCCCTGCCAGATCGTCCTTTTTCTCTCCCAACACCTGAGAGGCCGTCTGTAAATGTCCCATTGACGCCAGGCTAGTAGTAATATCGCCGCCGTGGGCGCGATGCTGAATACGTGCGCCGGTGGTATCTTTGGTAGCCGGGGCTGCTGTACGTCGTGGGGTAATTTGTGCTCCGGTAGACGACGCGTCGGCGCGGCGACGTCGCGATGATGAGCCAGGCGTCTGCAAGTGTTTTGCGTTAGTCTGCAAAATTGTTGATGTGTGGCCCGCTGGTTGGCGTAATTGCGCGCGAAGTGCACGGATTATGGGAGCACTCGCGCGTTCGCGCTGATCAAACAGAGACAATCTTTCGAACGAAGAAATGTTGAATGAACACAAAAGTTGGTGGTCGATTCATCGCGAAGGACTTACGCAGTATTCCCGGTATCCAGCCCAGTAGAGTGAGCAGGATGTTGAGACAGAAGTTCAGGCCACAGCCGCGCTTGATCAGAACGACGAGTGGAGGGAGGAAGATGGCGATGAGGATGAGGAGGCAGTCTTCCTACAGGAGCGTGTCAGTGAAGCAGTTTGGATTAAGAAACCAGTATGTAGTCGACCGCGACTGCTCCCGGTCAACCCGGACGTGGCGGAAGGCAGGAACGTAGTAGTGAACGAAATATTTGGAGGGATGAAGAAAACAGTGAGATGCGAGGGCGCAAGAGGTAGGGATGCGGTGTACGTACTGCCGTCGACATTGCGCCTGGACTATGGATGTCGCAGAGTGGTAGGGTATGCTACTGAATGCGGAATAGTCGGAGGATGAAAGGTTGGATTATGTTTTAGTGATTATGCGGAAGGATAGACAGCCGTGGGATCCACCGGAAAGATGCAAGATGCAGTTAGGTTGTCGAGTGGGTAAGAGACCGACCGGGTCGAGGAGAGAGGTGGTGGTGGTGTGTGCAGATGGGATGGGTGGTGAGGCGGGTTGGGTATGAAGTTGGGTTGACGTCGCCTGTGACATGCAACCAAAGCTAACCAACCCACAGACAGCACAGCCTGACCACAGCGGTGGAGCGCAAGTAAGTAAGTAACTGACAGGAAAGCGGAGTGAGGAACGGACTAACAAGCACATTAGAAATATATCCGCTTTGAAACACGTCCCTAACCCCCGCCGTCAGCCAGCCGCACCCGCACCCGCACCCAGCATCTGCCTACCATGGCGGCAGTGCAATCTTTGACAGTAAGAGCTACATGCAGCTTATTCTGACCTGACCTCACCTCCAAAGCCCTCTCTCGCGCAATTAGACATGCAGAAATCCAGCCTCTGCGCATGTCGGGACTAAATTTCCACGCGCCGCCGCGCTCTCATGGACCTGACCCAACCGAACTTCCTTGGCCACCATCATGGACACCAACATGAGCAAATCCCAGCTTCCCCACAAACAAGGACAGCGCCAATCCGAGACATTGCCGGCGGATGCTACTCCGCTCCCTTTGGCATACGTCATAGGAAGCGCGCGGGATGGTCGCGGACCGGGTCAAGCAGACGGAGGCGCCATTGAAAAAAGGGCAGAATGGGCGCTCGACGAGGTAGACGGGGAGGTCGTGGGTTTCGGCTCGGTCGAGCTACCCGGGCTTGCTTGAGCTGCCCTCTCTGCCCGTCCCGCCGTGTTGCGCGCATGAAAGGTTGTACCTTGCGCTGGGTTGGCGTCAACTCTGTTCCCCGCGTCTGTCGATTCTGCCTTGGCTTCTGCCCATCTGTCATGCTACACTGACCGCGCACAGAGTGGTCGGATCTTCAGACTGGGTCGCGTCAACGAAGAAAACCGGAATGTGGTCAGCAGATTTCGTTGTTGGCACGTCGTGGTGTACATTCTCGTTTCCCGCCCAAAACCCAAACGACATAGGCAAGCTTTCCGAGACGATGCGCGATGTAGCCCGGTACTAACCGACGCGCGTTCTTTGCTTGGCAAGGCAGGCTGATCAAATGGGAAGAGCTGTGTTGGTGAGGATTCCCCCGGGCGAAAAGTCGAGTCGGGCTGCATGGTCTTGGTCGGACGGAGACTCGGTGACCATATCCGATCCGTCGAGGGTTGCATGTTGACGTCATTGCTCTTCCATGTCGTAGAAAACCTCATGTGCAAACAGCCACAGTATCATCGTGTTAATGCTGGATGCTGATGACAGCCGTCACGCGCAAGTCGGTCTTTTGCCACTGCAGGCGTTAGCATGGGACTCAGCCTTGTCGGGTGCAACCCGAAGTTCTTCACAGCCTCGCCGGATTAGACTGTCGACCGTGCAAAGTCATTATGCAAGTTTTGGACCAATCGATTTTGGCTTGAAATCGCCGACTCTCATCTATTTTGGAAAGTTGCACAGCTCATGTGAAGAGCAAAAACCCACCAGCTCCTTTGATGGAATGCGAGACTGAATCAAACCCCCCTGTGCCCTGTGATATGCGCCTTGTGCCCGGTAGCAAAGAAATGGCCGCTTGCTCGACTTTATCGTCGCCAACGAGAAGCAAATTTTGGGAAAGTAGCAACGTGAAACAAGAGAAAAAAGGCAGAGTGAGTAAATCTCACCCTCGCGTCATCTGGCGCACTCAAGATCCAGCATTACCACCCCCTCTTGCCCGCTTGGGACCGCCACCATCTCCATCTGTGCCTGCCTCGTCTCTCGGCCGCTTGTTGGGGACGAATTGCCTCGCGTTGGCATTCATTCCCCTACCGGCACCAGGGCCGCCATCACCACCCTGGACTTGACCCTGATTTCCTCCTCCTCGGCCCCTACCGTGACCACCACCTCTTCCTCGCTGACTACCCGGGCCTTGTTGGCCACCGCTCTGTTGATTTGGCGCATTACCAGCTTGGCCACCGCCACGTCCACCTGGCCTTGGGATGCCGCCGCCACGTGGAATCCCAGTGCCACCTTGACCGATGATGTTGCGCAGCGCCTGGGGGCCTGTGCCAGCACCTTGCGGTTGTCCCTGAGGAGGTCTATTTGGAATTCCTGCTTGCTGCTGGTTTTGGAATGGAGGAGTCGGCAGCCCTTGTCCCATCTGGCCTATTTGCTGCTGGCCAAATGGCGAGTTTGGACGGAACTGATTGCCCATGGGACCGCCCATGGCACTACCAGGGCGTGGAATGCCGGTACCAAATGGATTCCCAGGCACAGGCTGGCCTTGCTGGTTTTGAAACTGGTTCATGGCGGCTTGTGGACGTTGTTGACCTTGGTTTTGTTGGACTGGAGCCCCTTGACCAAGTGGCTGCCCTTGAGGCTGTCTGGGAGATGGTGCTTGTTGTTGATTTTGCTGCGGTGCTTGTTGCTGCTGTTGCTGCTGAGCAGCTTGAGCAGTGCCAGCAGGCTGTTGAGATGGAGCCGCTGCTTGCGCTGCTGGCTGCTGTTGCTGCACGGGTGCTGGCTTGGCATCTTTAGCAACATCCCAGACCTCGACCACTGGTTTCTGTGGCGTCTCCTCTGCTGCCTTCTTGACGACTTCAATCTTGGCAGCAGCAGTGCGTTCCTTATTCTGCGCCATGTTGACCTTTAGCGCCTGGCGCTTCTCCATCATTGCAACAGCAGATTCCTTGGCTTGCTCGCCCTTTTTTCTCAATTCTTCAAGTTCTTTTTCATGGGCTTCCGCGAGTTCCTTGGTCTTTGCCTCGAGTTCGGCCGCGAGCTTCTTCTTGACGTTGTTGGAGAGAATGCTCTTGACAGTTGCGTTGCTGGTCAAAAACGCCCGAATCTCGCCATCTGACAAGTCTTCAAGGCGTACTTTGGGGGCAGCCTCCGTCTGAGGAACTTCAACCTTGACAGGAGTCGCGCTGGAAGCCTCGTTTTCGGGCGCGGCAGCACCAGAAGTGGAGGACACTTGTTCGCCCTTGATACGTTCCATCTCCTGCTGGTGCTCCGACTTGATCCGTTGAATCTCGGCCTGGTGCTCCTCCTTCAACTTTCTCAGCTCTTCCTCGTGCTCGACCTTGGTCTTGGCAATCTTTTCCTCATTCTCAGCCACCATGGCG